GCAGCAGCGGGTGCGGGCCGGACAGGAAGTCGGCGAGAAGGGCCAGGTGCGCGGCAGGGAGGTGCCGCGCGTGCAAGGTGAGAGAGGTGTGCTGGCGACGCAGCAGCGGCAGTAGCGAGGGGAGTGAAGTGGAAGCCGGGACGTGCACTTTGCTGCAGGAGAGCAGCGTGGCCAGGTCGGTCGGCGGCAAGGCCGGCGGGGGGAGATCGATGGGGCACATGGCAGGGAGGTGGGGGTGTGGGATAGTTTGGGGGGTGGAGGAGCTGAGACATCGACGATGATGAGAAATGGGAGGATGGCAATGGAAAGATGGCTGGCGATGGAGACGTGTACACCCGTTGGAGGTTTCCGGTGATTGAGCACGTGTCCGACGTGGACTCGGTGTACCGCGTGGCACGGAGCGGGGCGCGCGGCAGCGATACTGTAGGAAACAGTGTTTCCTACTACTGTAGGAAATGGGCGCTGGTGAGATATTATGAATAAAATATGAGGTTTTTTGTCTTGCGATTTCATTGGCTTAGAAGTTTCCTTATCATACCACTCCGATAACTGCAACCCCCGACGATAACTGCAACACCAGGTGTTGCAGTTATCGCGAGCTGTGACTGTACAGCGCATGGCGAGCGTTTCCGCTGCGGGCCACGTAGGCGGCGGTGGCGTTGAAGCAAGGATTGCAGCGGGCGCGCGCCGGATCAAGTTGGGGAGCTACCACGTCGGGCGGCGCGATTGGCGCCCGGCGCGCACGGGCAGCGCCGTACATGGCAGCAGAGCGGAGCGCGCGCTTGCACTTGCCTCGTCGCGCCACGGCAGCAGCCGCGCCGAGCTTGCGGAGCGCGCCGCGCACGACCCGAAATAGCGCGCGCTTGCCGCCGGCACGGGGAGCAACCAGCAAGCAACCCACCCCGGTAAGCAACCCCGGCAAGCAAACCCCGGAAAGCAAATCTTGCTCCGGCTGTACGCTGCGCAGCCCGTACAGCAGGGGGGCAAGCCGAGCTGGCGTCCGTACCGCTCAAGTAGGAGAGCGGCTATGCATCCAGGTGCTCACATAACTTATATACCGATTTACCCTGTGTTTGCCAAAAAATCCCGCTCGCTCTACCGTACGAAGACATCCCCCTCCGTACCAAAACTAGCATAAAACCAACCCCTCCCCAGCCTCGCCAAACGCTACCGCTTGCGGTCGCCCGCGCCGTCTATCGAAAGAACGTAAGCTTCGGAGATGACCTCGTCAGCGTCGCGGAGCTCGCGCTGCTGCTCCATGAGGTCGCGGCGGATGGCGACGATCTTGCGCTGCTGCCATGTGAGGACACCGTCGATCTTGCGCATCGCTTCCTCGACGGTCGTCACCTGGAAGCTGGCGCGCAGACCGCCAGCGCGCACTTTGCGAGAGTGCCACGGGCCGAGAATCCCCGTGCTCATCGACAGCCTGCTCACGATGCGCTCTTCCACCAGGTGCGGTCCGTGCGTCACGACCACGCCATACAGCTCGTTCACTTCGCCCCACAGCCTCTTCACCAGCGCCGGCGTTCGTATCCGTCCAAAGCCGAGCCGTGTCAGCGTCCGTCCGCGCCTTAATTCCGCCCCGATCCGCCCGACAGACCCTCTTCGAATTGGCTTGGCCGCCGCGTCCACGCCGCCCGACCGCGAAAGTACCGACGACGCCTCGGTGCACAGCGAGTCCAGATCCACGAGCACCGACTGATCAAAGGTCGAATCCGTGCGAGCGCCGCCTCGAATCGTGTGCGGTGACCCGTCCGACGTCGTCGTGGACAGTGACACCGGGCTGGCGGGCGGGAACACGTCAAACTCGTCCAGCTCGTCCTCGCTGCTGCGCAATCTCCCCAGTTCGCTGCGTGACCACGCGGCGCGTCGATTCTCCCCGACGCTCAACCTGGTCTCGCTCCTCCTCCCCATGTAGGCCGCGGAAAGCGAATCGCCCCACCAGTTGACGTCCTGCTGCCGCTCGCCCCCGACCTTGCCTCCTTCCTCCGCTACGACCGGCTGATGCTGATACTGGTGCTGATACTGATGCTGGTACTGGTGCTGATACTGATGCTGATGTCGGTGATGCATCTCCTCATGATGCTGATGTCGGTGATGCATCTCCTCATGTTGTTGTTGTTGTTCCTCCACGGGCGGCGGTGACGGCGGCGGCGGCGGCGGCGGAATAAGCCTCGACTCGGAGCGTCTCGGCAAGCTGGGCTGCGAGCGCAGGACATTATTCCGTGCGTGGCCCCTCGACGACGGGCGATCGCCCGCGAAGATGGTGGAGGTGAAAGCGTTATCCGAAGACATGCCGTCCGGGGAGCGCGACGTGCGTCTTCCAAACGGGAAGCGGCCTCGAAACTCTGGGGACTGGGGCGACGTGGCGGGTGGCGGAGTGCTTTGTGAGGCGGGCGGCGGGGGCTCAGTGCCGGAGGCGGAGCGCTCGAAGCGCTCGCAGGGCGGGTGCGGTGCGCGGTCCTCGCGCGACAGGGCGCACAAGTGTGAGCGGAGCAGGGCGAGCTTTGCGGCGAGGGCGGCGAGCAGGTAGAGGATGCGGACCTGGTCTGCAAGGGCGCACTCGATAGCGGCGGCAGCGACGGCGGCGTGCTCGCGCTGCAGGTGGAGCGCGCGTAGCGCTGCGTGGTGTGCGTGTCGCGGCGGGGTGGCGAGGAAGTGGGCGCCCTCCAGGGCGCACATGCGGGCGCGCGCGGCGGCGGCGTGGTGCGCGCGCGGGGCCAGGGCGTCGAGGCGGGCCGTGCACTTGTGCAGGGCCAGGTGCAGGACGCGCAGGGCGCGGGCGTCGGCGTGCGTGAGCAGGTGCTCCAGGCGGATGCGGACGGCGTGCTGGCGCTCCAGGTCGCGGTGGTGGTCGCGGAAGGCGGCGACGACGCGCGAGAGGTCGGCGTACTCGTCGCGCAGCAGCGGGTGGTTGAGGCGCAGGGCCGGCGGGTGCGGCGCGGGGCGCGGGGCCGCGTCCGCGGAGAGCGCGCTCAGGGCCGCGGAGAGGGTCGCGGGCGTCGTGGACAGATCGACGGCCGTGAGCGACGGGGCGTCGCGCGCGGAGAGCGGAGGGGGCGACGGAGGGCGGCGGCTCATGTAATCCGCGTAGTCCATGCCGGGGGCTGGGGGGGAGG